GACAATCCGTTGTGGTCAAAAGTCAAAACTTTCTGTGTATTCCTGGACGCGTCTTGGAAAATTTGATAAAATTTGTCTTTTTGCTTGCAAGAAAGCTCTTGGCAATTGCTGATCCCCTGCCGTATACCAATTTCAGTTTATGATCGAAACGTATGAGCGAGTAACAGTAGATTTGGTTGTCTCACTAAGCCCCTAACATGCGGTTATGTACATTTTCAGGCATCGCCGTCAAATCTGAATGCACGCGTCTTGGAAAATTTGATAGGCATTTCGAAATATCTGTTGCAATCCCGTACTGGTACACCGTTGTTGAAGCATCTTTTCGACTACATCCTCTTCAATCCGGAGCTCTGGAGTAAAGCTGAAGCTTCTGTAAGTTTTACAATCGCACAGAATGCCGTACGCCGTCCCCAACAAAGAAGATGTATTCCTTAATTTTAATGTTCTTGGCTCAAAATGTCTAGCCTTGCTTTCAAATTCCTCTTTAATTTTCTGTTTTTTGATATGATTTTGCATTCTTCTAGCTAATTTTCACGTTTTTCTCGGCAAGATGTCAAGCATTTTTCATATTTGGCCAAAAAATTCCAGTACAGAGATGAATAGGCTACTTTTTCTCTGACTTACAATTACGGATTAATCATCGCCTTCATTCTCCTCAATCTCCATAATTTAACTGCATAACCCATTTCTCACCTTTCCCATTCAATATCTTACATATACATATAATTTTTGGTCATTCCCTCATCAACAATTTCACTTAATTAGATCCTAACATTTTTCATTTCATTTCATTGCTCCAGCGCATTTATGAGTTTACTCCAAAACATACAATACGCTTATGTCCCTATTTTTTATTTATAGATACAAATTAAACTGTATTATTATTTGGCGAGTGATTTTTTGTCGAGCGCGAATTTGATGCTTCCTTTGCAACGTTGCGCCACTGTCGTTGAAGTTCTTCACGCCGTCAAAATGTACTACTGGGTTGTTGTGCCATGCTCGCCATCAATCTACAGTGTAGTCGAAAGTGAACAAAGGCCATCACGGTAAATGTGTCGCAAATGCTTTTCTATTTTTATTATACGTTTTTTGCAGCTATGCAGTGCAAAAACTCATATTGTTGAGGGGTTTCTGTGTATATTTGTACATGTATCTGTATCGACTTTTCATCTCGATACTCAGGAAATCTAATAGGCTGAAACTTTGGCGACTTAATCTGCACGCATTTACGGACTCTTATTCCTAAAATGGACGCTCTTGTCCACGTAGTTCCTATGTACGGGCTCGTGAATGTTTTCGCGGGTGAGTTGCTAACTGAGAAGCCTGAAAAGCTAAAAAACTGGAATTTTAGGGGAATGTCTTCTCACAGTCGTGTTGGCCAGTTTCAATTCTTTTAGCTAAAAAATCTCCTGGAAAAGACAGTGCCGTTAGCGACAAAAACCCGCGGGGAGCTGTACAAAAAACGCATCTTCACACCGGCAGTCGGTGCATTGGCTAATTATTTGAAATGTGTATGGCCCTTATAGACCCTTGTGTCATCATTACTGCTGTTTTCTAACAAGCTTTTAAGGAGTGACATTGTAACAATCCGAGCACATTTGCTAACGTTTGTTTCGCGAATGATTTGTATGGTGGATTCGAAGGAGAGCGAACTGAATCGCGACAACGAATTCAATGCCCTGCTCAATTTCATTGCCACCGTACATGAAGTAAGTATCGGTTATATCGACGCCTTTCTTGGAATTGACCACAGGGCGTTTCAGCATTTTCTGTAAAATTAGGATTTTGCCATGAACTTAAGATCTGACTTGTTTGATGACAGCAGTTTCCTTGGGCGTCTAGCAAGCCTGCTTTTCCAAGGTTTCGTGATCTTTAAAATTTGCACTTCTTTGCTATTTGTGTTTCAGTAAACCAGAGCAAAAAAGTCGAAACGTGAGCAGCATTATCATTACCGCATTTTTAGCTGTTTTTCTTCACGGACCTCAGAAAGATGTGAATGGTTTGAGGGAGCACTGCGGCTGTGTTTTAATGAG